GTGGCTTATGGATAGATTTCTAGCTTTCCGTCGTGTGATCCCGGGTTTGATATCCGTCCGGGGACAAAAACTAAAGTTCTTGCTTTCCTTTAAAATCATCTCAGTTTCTGTAACTGTGTGACGAAGAAATGATCTGGCAGGCCGAGTTTGCTTGTTACTGTGAAGGGAATATCTCATGTTTGCCACATCCTCTCTAACCTCCCAAGCGTGGTAATTAAATTAGGCCCAGACATCGTTGGGTAACCGGGAAAGTCAGACAATCGACCCAGAATGACATGTTAATAAATAAAATGATCTATGTGGCATATCCTACTTTTATTTACATTTGTCATTTCTCATATTTTAGGACCTTCATAATCATCACCAATATCGTGAGAGGAACAGGTCTATAAAGTATAATAATAAAATAGGAATTGACAGCTGAGTGAATTTTATTTTCTTTATTCAAAATAGAAACGAAATAATTTTATGCCAGACATGATTGCGATACTAGAAATAATACACATTATTAATATTAGTAACAGTATTCAACAATTATCAATTAATTCAATAAAGATATTACTTCTGCAAAATTATAGATCGTCACCACTGTTATCAATTTCATCGTTGCCATCATCATCATCATCATCGTAAATTTTAAATTCAAATACTATTCATTAGAGGGAATTATATTTTCTTAATTCTATACAAAGCAGCATTTCTATGCTTTCTGTATTCTACGTATATGAGAAAAGGAAATTAGTTATTCATTATCAGATATAACAACACTCGGTTTTGTAAATGCATTTTATACTCATTAATAAATATATTAATATTAATATTATTGGTATTGCTTTCTGAGCTGTTACACCCCAAAACGTTTTTGAAACAGACATATATTATCTGTACCTGCGGCGGACATTCGTAGTGACGCTAGAGCAACGGTCTTAGAACCCTTCTGGTCGTCTCCTTAGTGACTGGTTAAGCAATGGTGTCGAGTTTTAGTTGACTAGTTAAGCAAGGATATGTCAATGATAACGAGTTTTTTCCACTACCACTGACTACAATGTCCTTCTACAACAGGAAGCCATCAAGATCCATGAACATAACAATATTTTTAATAAAAAGGGAAACTATTTGAAAAAACACCTTATTTGGTATCCGCGCCGAGCCACATCCAAATAAGGTATTTCAACCGTATTGATTTTTGCTCGTCGTCAGTAAGTTACGTCAGCGCTCTGAAGACAGGACTCGAGTGACGCACGTTGACCGAAGGTCAGCGTAACGTCATTCGGCACGAGCCGGCCAATAGCCGACGTCGTTACTTTTCCCCTTGCCGGCTAACCCTACGATAAGCTCTGTTGAGACATTTTGTCGGCTAGAAGCCGACTAGAAGACTTCAACGACCACTGCATTGCCTCCACTAAGTATATGAACGTCCCAGGGCAGACTAATTGCGTGTCAGAAGAATGGGAAATTGAACTAGATGGCTGCCTGACATCCTGGTAAGCAATGTCAATATTGACTCTGCCCGTGATAGTTTACATTATTTTATAATAATAATATTGCAACAACAAATTCAAGAAAGAAAATATTTCTACAAAATTCGCAAATTTGTCTAAAGTTTCATTAACGCTACGTGAACTCTTCGCCAAAAGCAAATACTCTGCAGATATTCACGAGACCTCCTGTTTACTTTGGTTTAATAAATGCCATGTCTGTACGGTGAACTACCGTTTGAAATTGTTAGAGGTAGTGCACGAGACTGTGAAGTGTGTCTGTTAATTCATTATTCACACTATATTTCGGAAAAATAACAACTATGTCATTTTCATTTTATCACAAAAAGTCTAATATAATGCTAATTGATCGGTTCGCTGAACGTCCAGCATACAACTGATGTTTTTTATTTATTCATTGTCTAAACACTTCGTAGTTTAGTTTTGTGTAATGCACTCGCCGAGGCATTGTTGTTTCACATTATAATATTTAATAACACATGTGACTGAGAAGAAAATAATGAAATCTAAATATTGATTTATTAATATCTAAAATAAATATGGAAAGATTTAGCATTGTTTTACAGTATTGCACTATTTAAAAATTATGGCTGAATTTGATAAATCTCTTGTCTGAGTGAACAAATATTACATTAACTTTGTTATCAATTTTACCGTGAAATTCAATTATTTTGTTTCTATTCAATATCAGAATACACTAGTCAGTCGTTATATATTATATACACCTCTTTGTACCACCTTGCACTACGAAGTTCATGTTATGTTTTAGTTTGATGTTCGAAGCGTATTCAGGGAGTAAGTTTCCCTTACGACAAACGATAGCAGGATATCTGTTTTGAAATTCCTAGAAGCGCGTGTGAGAGAGAGATGGTGTGGAAATTGTATGCGCCACATCGCACCAACTGCGTTCTCACAGTACTAAGAGTATATCGAATGAAGCTGGCTTCTCTATTTCTATCTGCCGCAGCTTGCGAGGTTCGGATTGAGATAAAGTGTTTCAGCGGACATATATCGAAATACAGTCACCTGTGATGAGTATATCAACCGGGAATCATGAGCCAGCGGATGGTGCGTTGTTTGTGCAGGGAATTCTCGGAAGCTGGGCAAAGTGGGCGTGATGTAGCACGCAGTCGGCCACCATCCCTCGGCGTGAGTAATCTCGTGAAGCTTCTGCAGCAACACATTGTGGAGAACCGTCGTTGCATGATTACGGAACTCAGTAGCAATTTTCTGAAGACCTCCCTTTCCAGATCACACGAAATTGTCCCAGAAGTACTTGAATTTAAGAAATGTTGTAGTAGGTGTCGAACACAAAATCAAGCAACCAAGCATTGACATTTCTGGAGCGGTATGACGACGACGATGGCAACACTTTTCTGAACCCGATTATCGAAGGCAATTAATCCTGTGTTGTATTCTTTACCCCAGAAACCAACACATACACTGCTTTGGTGTCACACTGAATTTCCGAGCAAGACCACACTTATGCAGACTGTCGATGCGGAACGTTTTCTTGGAGTTTTCTCATAGAATTCCTGGATACAGTTGAGGCAGTGAACTCTGAAGGGTTCGAAGGGTCATTCAGAAGAAGCGACGCGGGGTTCTCAGTGCAGATGTTGACTTCCTAGTCGTCAAAGCTCGACCACACACGGCTCGGATCAGTGCAGATCTTCTGCTAGAAGATGTGTGACCATCTACCATTCAATACAGCGATTTCCATCTTTACTTTGTCTTCAAAAAAAAAAAAAAGAAAAACAAAAAAAAAAAAACCACCTGTCCAGCCATCAATAGCGTAGCAAGTGTTGCAGAATTACAGGTGGCTACAAACCATGATGTCTATCCTAGACGGCTGACTTCTTCGACAGAGGAATACAATACTGATCACACCAGATGACAAATGTCTTAAATATGGTAGTTTTTATGTGGAAAAATAGTTCAACATGCATCAATTAGCTGCTGTATCAATTAGTAAAGTTTTCCTATGATATATTGTGTTCATTTCGTTGATGAAGGGTCGCTCATACGAAATGTTTAACTTATGTAGCGTCAATGACACCGACTTAACTACGAGTATGTGGATATTAGGTTAAGGCACATTCTGAACTGTACTATCATCGAAGTATAGAAAAATACTCTTGTAGTATTCAGTTTATTTAATTTTCTTATTAAATAGAATAAATTATGTTTCAAGACGCTCAATAGGCATTTAGAAAACAGATTTTTTGAGCGCAATAGATGACCGGCATACTGACCAGTGGTACTACTAGCACAATATTATCAAAAATAAACATTTTTTATTGCTTTTGGCCTCTTTTTGTATAACATTTAAATCATGATTTATGTTTTAACACTACCTACTCTTGAGAACCTTCATCACAAATCAATAAACATATTTATTTACCAGTCATTATTAGTATCATCATTATAAGCTCAAGTACCCTTATGTATCTGACATTTCTATTAAAATGCTACACACATGACATTTACAGCCAATTTCTAGGGAACTGGTCGTGCACTGGTGTTTTGTTGGTTCACGAAATATTTTGGACCACACAGACTGTGTTTATCTCAGAGCCAGCATTGCCTGTGTGTCTGCAGCGACTCTGCCCCTGGCGTTCTGGGGTTCTTGACGACCCCTGACGATGGGTGACTTTTTATACGAGCTACGTCCGTTTCAGCTGTTGTCTAGAGGAGAATTTGAGAGGATGTCTGCTTTAAACAGCAGTTTTCCGTGGTTTCTTTTATCAACTCCAGGTGAATGCCAGAGCAGTATCGTAACAAACAGTCTAAGGGCGAGCGAGGTCTTTCCAGCGACTTCTTCATCCTCTATTATCATTATAGTAACACACAAACTTACCTGTGCTTCACATAATATCGGGAGCCCAGTAGAGTGCTGTAAAGAGCTCATCCCCGCTGGGGTACCTTGTCGCTGGGGAGATACCTGAAAGGGGAAATCGGCCGCAATCATCCGTGTAGGTCGGCGCCGGATCTCACTATCCAGCAAGGAAGGAATCACCAGCCCTCCCTGGTTACGTTGAAGGAACTAATGGTCTTAGCAGTTAACGTCAATCAAAGACCGTAGTTGTTAAACTCGATCAATGGCCCGGAAACACCAATCAATCTTTTTCACCTATGCCAAAATTTGCACCTGCCAAACACCAGTATGTACTAATCAGGCGTATACGACACATGTAAAACATCATTATATTACATTTCCCTCCATATGTTCACTTTCAAAAAGTAATCATCTTCTACCGCTACATGCGTTAGAAATTTATAACATTTATTCCGAAACACCCACATGCGTTAGAAATTTATAACATTTATTCCGATACACCCACAAGCGTTAGAAATTTATAACATTTATTCCGAAACACCCACAAGCGTTAGAAATTTATAACCTTTATTCCGAAACACCCACAAGCGTTAGAAATTTATAACATTTAGTCCGAAACACCCCGAGCCATACTTATGGTGGGTTGTGTGTTTGTTGCGCGGCAGGCAAGGCGCCGTCGGGTAGCAGCTCGCAAGGGTCCACTCGGCGCAAGACGAAGAGCGACCGGCGCATGAAGCGCACCAACACGCTGCTCGTGTGCACGGCGCTCATCTTCTGCATCAGCTGGCTGCCGCTCAACATCTTCAACATCGTCATGGACCTGTGGAACCCGGTGATCAAGGACAACGAGTCGATGCTCATCTGCTACGCCGTCATGCACATGATGGGCATGTCGTCGGCGTGCTCCAACCCGCTGCTGTACGGCTGGCTCAACGACAACTTCCGCAAGGAGTTCCAGGAGCTGCTGGCGCTGCTGTGCCCGTGCGTGCCCGTGGACGCCGTGCGCGAGCGCGTGGGCTCGCTCAAGTCGAGCGTGTCGCGCAGGCGCCGGCGCAGGCACAAGTCGGCCAGCGGCTCCAGCGCCGCCAGCGCCCTGGCGGCCGGAGGAGCGGGTGCGTTCACTTTGCATTTCACCTCTTTTGAATGGAGGAGCAGGTGTGTTCACTTTTTATGTCAGGTACTTTCCATGGAGGATCGGGTGCGTTCACTTTTCAATCGTAGATTTTAATACTTTGAAAGGAGGAGCGGGTGCGTTCACTTTGCATTCCAACTGTTTCGTGTGGAGGAGCGGGTGCGTTCACTTTCTGTTTCAACTATTTTGCATGGAGGAATGGGAGCGTTCACTTTGCATTTCAGCTATTTTACATGAAGGAATGGGTGCGTTCAGTTTTCAGTCGTAGGTTTTAATATATTGAAAAGAGGATCGGGCGTGTTCACTTTTTATTCCAGCAATTTTGTATGGAGGAGAGGGTGCGTTCACTTTTTATCTCAGCTATTTTGTGTGGAGAAGTAGGTGTGTTCGCTTTTAGAGCTAGGTTTTAATGTATTAGAGGGAGGATCGGATGCATTCATTTTCCATTTCAAGTATTTTGCATTGAGGAACGGTTGCTTTCACTTTTCAGTCGTAGATTTCAATATATTAAGAGAGAAGCACGTGTGGTCACTTTTCATTCCTAGTTTTACTATACTTGTATTGTAGGAAGGAGCGGGTGCGTTCAATATTGATTTCTAATTTCATAGTCATATAGTCTGTAGTCATTACTATATTGTAGGGAGGAGCAGGTGCGTTCACTTCTCATAAGTAATTTCACTAATGGTTTCAAACTCATCGATAAGTTCACGAGTCATATACCGACGTGCGAGCTTATCTGAGAAATTTCAAACCACGAGTGGAATTCGGTTGGACTATTTCACGAAAAAAGGCATTCGCCGATTTAATAGTATAAATATAATATTAAAAGTAGCGAAAAATATTTTAGGCAGGTTGTTTCAGATTCTTTATTATTACTGCAGTTTCCATAATGGAAAGACAATAACAAATATTACACATGTGAACTTTTCGATTTTAGAGGCACGTGGTTGGTTTATAGACGCTGTTGGCCGGATTGAAACTAAGACCTCATGTGTTTAATTCCTATTTTTAATATATTGTAGGCAGGAGATGGTGCGTTATCTTTCCTTTCTTACTTTTACTATACTTTAGCGAGGAGTGGGCTCATTGAATTTTCATTCCTAGTGTGTGAACTTTTGTAGGGGGGAGCGAGTGTGTTCACTTTTCATTACAAGCTTTTACTGTAGTGATGGAAACAGTGGGAAGCAAGAAAGTTCTTAAACCATCAGCGTAGGCCTGTGCCGTGATATTGCCACACAAAACTACAAAGGGTGCAAGCTCCCTCCATGAAAAACACGTCCACACCATAACACCATTTCGGACGTATCCGGGTACTTTTGATTATATAGTGTAAGTGCACAGAACCAATCGATTTTGTCGCCAACCATCCACGAGATCCCTAGATCACTCCCCACTGGGAATGCGACATTTATTTCAAAGTTTTCAGGACATAAAGTTTTTCTTAGAAAAATCAATGGTTTCAAAGGGTAGAAGAATGAGTGTCGTTCCTTGAGAAACTAAATGAGCTATTATAGGTTGTGTAATATTAATTCATCAATATAGTATAAATGAATAACGTAAATATTAAGTGACTTGAACTAGCAAATATGTAAGGAAATAATCCTAATAAGTTATAAAATAAGAAAATTGAGAATAGTGAAATATATATGAATGATCTCGTTGTGTATTTATGTCCAAAAATTTTATTATAAATTCCGAATATAATTTATTAATTAATAAATTTCACATAAATAAGCTTCGATTGATAATAATTCAGTAAGATGATGGAAGAGAGTTCGTTGCATGTGTCCAATAAAAGAAGATTATAAATTCCGAATATAATTTATTAAGTAATACATTTCTCATAAATAAGCTTCGATTCAGTAAGATGATGGAAGAGTTAATCAGCGCTCGTTGTGCGTGTGTGTGGTGCAGGTGGCGCGGGCGGCGGCGGCGGGTCGGGCGCGGGCGCGCGGGCGGCGCCGGCGGCGGCGGGGGCGGCGGCGGGCGGCGCGGGGCGGCGCGGGCCGACGCATGGGCGACCTGCGAGCCGGACGCCACCAGCGACGAGCGCTGCGACAAGGAGGAGACGGTGATGGCCATCACGGCTACCGCCGGGCACCGACACCATCACCACCACGAGAACGGCACGGGCATGCTGCAGCACGACACCGAATGACCACGCTCACGCGCGCGTAGCGGTGAGTACTCGTACTTCTTTTTTTTTTTTTTTTTTTCATTTCATTTCTTTCAATTGACTCAATGGTGCCTTGTTTTATGTGGCGAGGCTCTCAGGCCGTCTGGTATGCTCTTCCTGATGGCTGATTTTGTGCCTCTAAGTTACCTATTGTGCCAACAAGTTATGACACCTATTAGCAGTATTAATAATAAATCTTCCACCTGACCATGTAAACTTCGCTACTCTTTTCTCACATCTAGCAGCAAAAGAAAGTATCATTCGGGCGGAGATATAAGTTGGTGGTTTTTCGAAGTTTATATATATATATATATATACCCTTTAGCCGTAGTTATCACTTAGGGAATGTTTTGGATTTTAAATTTGTTGCCTTTTAACACACCAAGATATTTATCAACTAGGGTAATGGAAGGTTCTTGCCTCTCTTAGAGGTGATAACCACTGTTTTCTTTCTTTTTATTTTGGACTACAATTATTAGGCTTGGCGGCCTGTTCCGTTCTCAGTATAAGTTATTATTCCATCTGATTATTGTTCTCCCAACAGTTCTTCTTCCTATCGTCACATGGTCGAAAGCTTGTTTGGGCAGTCTGCCATTGTTTCTTCGAGTAATGCGGGAGTACCAGTTATATTTTTATTTTTTTATTTCTTTTTACGTTCAATTCAATGATCCCTTATCTTATGTGGCGAGGCACAGGCCATCAGGCCTGATCTTCCAACTGCCCTGCTATGCTCCTTTCCCTCGCCATCTATCAGCAAAAGAATATATCTCTTCAGCGGCGAAATAGGCCATTTGTGGCAGCAGTTATCGCATAGGAAATGTTTATGATTTTAAAATGTCATAATTTTTAACATACCAACGCCGGTAACGGTGAGGGTAAAAGCGTATTCTTATGTCTCGAAATTACTAGTGGCAGGAGAGTAGTTCATCTAAATACGAAAAATCCTATACAACATACCTACGATGAATAAGGCACTAAGAACTTCAACTCCACCTGTATTGAATTTTGATACTATGTCTTAAAGTATATTTCACACTCTAGAGAAACTTTTTGATTTAAATATTAATATTCTACAACCTATACGTACATCTGCGCATGTGTGTCTGTGATTGATATATTATTATAAAAATAAAATATTTTTCACGAACGATGGGTCCTATTTGGACCTTTCTGAAACAAGATAATGTCTTTACGTTGCCCAAAGTTGCATATTGAAATTAAGCATCAATTGTAAGTTTGTAATTGTATACCAATATTTGAACATTTCTTTCCGGATAAAAAAGTCATAACTTTTGCGGTGAATCTCATACGTGAGTAAACATGTCTGTACGCACAAAACTATCTACATGAAACAAGGGTTCTGTATTCGGCTGCAAGTGAACAATGTACAAATATAGATTTCGCACTTAACTTGATCTTGTCAGCCATTAATTTGAACTTCTGGAGAGAATGTTTTTGAATATTTAGGTCATCTCGACATTCGAGCCTCTCCTTTAAGCGAAAGAACGATTTGTGGCGTGCTCCGTCTTGGGGCACTTGTTTATTTCATCGTCTGCGCTCGTCAAAGGTTCAATTTGGCCGATCTCTACTCCAATTGGAATTGCCATCGGAAGCAGACGAAAACTAATTTCAGAGAAAAGAAGGTCTCTCCCTCCCTTACCTGCGAGAGCTCTTTGCAAACTTTGAAGCTCTTGAGAAAACACTTAAAGATGTTCTATTTCACGAAACGATTATGAGAAGAACAAGGATGGAGAGTGTGCTTACTCTGGTCTCAAACGCCGGGGGCTTGATGACGAAATGGAGACTTCACGGAAATAAATGAGCGTCGGTGAAATACGCTTCAAAATGGCGCTGCAAAGAAATCCAAAACGCAGAGAAAACGGTTTATAGACAGCTTCTCTGTAAGTCTTTGCGAAGATCCCCAAACGAACGGGGATGTACCGAGGCGGAGTGTTCATGAAATTTGCCCTAATAATTTTCTTCCTGCTCTTTAACGGGGCAGTTTGGCTTAATGAGTCAATTACTTGAAGCAATTCGTTGCAATAATGTAAACCCATTAGGCGTGTTATTTGTCAATTATTCCTTGAATCTGCCAAACCCTTGATTAACAGATTATGTTTTAATAGACTTCATTTAGAATTTATCGACTCTTAGATATTTATTTTCTCAAATTGAAGTAGTTTATCATTTGAACGTTTGATAGGTTTAAAACAAAACGTTTATGTAAGTGTTCCAAAGTTTCCATCTTTTATGGCGAAAATTGAAAATAAACTGTAGAATAAAAGATATAGTTATAGTTTTCTACAAATAACAACCACATTGTTTGAAGAAAATAACAAATTTATTTAGTTGGAATTTAGAATTTTTTAATTATTTTTGAATTTATGACAGGAAAAGAAATAATTATATAACTTAGGTGTTAGGATATGAATACTAGCTATTAAATTTCATCTTTTCAAAATATATTTACTTAAACCTGCGAGTTGAAATAAATTATAATTTTTTACGTTTAAGTTTGAAGTGTTTACATACCCGTTAACTTCTAATTCGGGGCTTAACGGTGGATTGTACGTGAATCACAATTCTCCAGCAAACTGCCGCTTTGAAGCGCAAAGCGCTGGAAGGGAAAGTAAGGACACTACCTTCCTACAGCGCCACTCACTTTGAAGATGACAGGCTACTGGCCAACAGCCAGCTGGACAATCGCCGTCCTTCCGACTGCCTTCAAAGGGCTAGACACGTCGTACCGTGCCAAGACAGGAGAACTCAGAGCAACAGT